GGAAGCCCCCAATAAAGCTCACTTGCATTAACACATTGGCTCAATCTCCAGAAGCCCAAAAACCTGTAAACATGTTGGGAGCATCTCTCCCTGTCCTTCTGGGCATCTGGTGCAGAGGTGAGTGAAGGAGAAACCAACACAACTCCTTTCCCCAAATACTGAGCCGAAATTGCCCAAATTTATAGCATTCTTCTTCCTCCAGGATCCAGTTCTCAGCCTACAGTGATTCAGGAATCTTCCATGTCACCTTCCCTTGGACAGACGGTTAAACTCTCTTGTTCCCTGAGCAGTGGACAAGTAACATCTTACGACCAATCATGGTATCAACAAAAAGAAGGAAGTCCTCCCAGATTCCTTTATTATTACTACAGCAGTGCAACCGCAGGCTCTGGAGACCTCAGCCGCTTCTCTGCCTCCAAGGAAAGCAACCAAAATAAATGGTATTTGACCATCAGCAACCTCCAGCCAGAAGATGAGGCTGATTATCACTGTGCTGTTTGGTATGGCTCCAGTACAGGGTTCCACAGTGATACAGACTCAAGGGGAACTGAGACCAAAACCTCCAGCTCAAAAAGTTGCAGCAGCTTTTAAGAGTCCATTGATTAATTTCAGTTCCTCAAGCAGAAATTAATTCAGTTCAGGCAGAATCTCAAGGAACGTGAGCAATTCTAATGAATGGCAGAGAGGGGCTGCTTTCATAAGCCTGGTGAGAGAAATGATTTCCTCTTAGTCATGGATAAGCCCTCATGGATAATCACCATATTTTGGCTTTCTGAACTCTTCTGACCTAATGAAGTAAGATTCTCTTGCCTTGAAGACACTTGCTCAAGATAGGTTGATGTCACTCTGGATGATAATTCAATGACTATTTCTGAGTTCTGCTTACTTTTTGTTCACCGACTGAACAACAACAAAAACCTGAGTTTCAGACATATTCTGGATTTGATTGGATATAATCTGTAGGAAGAAGTACCAGATTAAACATGGGTAGCCCTCTTCCAAGGGCTTCTACTGCAGTCATGGAGGGAAAGAATGCTAAGCGAGGACTCTCAGATAAGCCAAGGTTACCACCAGGCACACAATCAAGCAGTAAATATATGCTAACCAAAGAACTACCAGAGGAGCAAAACAAAGCCCCCAC